TTCATCTTATGAAAAAGCCCTTGAAATTCGACAACAATCACTTCCTTTCAATCATCCTAATTTGGGTGCTTCCTATAACAACATTGGTATGGTGTATGAAAACATGGGCAACTATTCAAAAGCTCATTCATTTTATGAACGTGCCGTACAAAATGGACAACAATCATTACCATCAAATCATCCAACTCTTCAACAACGGAGAAAAAACCTCGAACGCATAAAAAAGCAATTATAATTTCTTTCTGTATTCTTTTTGAAAGTAAAATAAAACTAATGAAAATGAAAATATGTCTGTTGAAACTTTGCTCTTGTTGAGAACACAATATGAACCGTAACATTCACTGGTATACCGTATTTATATCAGATTGATATGTGAATAGGCATCCAAGAAGATTGAAGATGTCTTTATTCTAAAAAAAATTACTGTTGAGCAGAAATAAAGAGCTCTTTAGAAATATTGATTTTTTATTTTTAGTTTTTCATGCATAGAAAAATAGAAAGAAATTGGTAGCATGAGGAAACAAAGTAAATGATATAATGAGAATCAAACTTTATACAGAAGTAGAATATATATTAATTTCTTAGTGTAACTTCGTTTATAAACCTGTATGTCGATAAAATCTGTACAAGTTCGACAGTTTATAAAGGATGTTGCTCCTTGAACAGCAAAAATGCATCAAAAACTTGTTTTTATTAACATATCCTGTGTATATGTTTATATATTCTGTTAGAGAAACGTAGATATATATAGCTCATGCTATTTCATAGTTATCCTGAAAGCTCAATATCTCAAGAAAGAAAGAATGCGATATGAATTATTTTCAAGATTTTCACGCTTCATTGATGTCCATTTATGATCAGAGGATAAAATCTAAACAACTGGAACATGCCAATATGTTTTATAGTTTATCTATGTGTTGTAAATTTTATTTATGTAATATTATTGGAATTCTTAACAACTTCTGTTTCGAGTACTGTATACTTCGCTTCCTTTATGCACTTTCTTCTATAGAAATGATGACACGTTCTTATCATGGAAGATCTCTGAGAACATGCAATAAGATGCGTTTCATACAATACTCCTTATATATTTGGTAGCATATTTTTCTTCACATGGAGTTGCTAAAGTGCTTTTTGAAACAAACACGAAAGATTCTAAACTCACTCTCAATGTATATTCAATTGCTCTTTTTCCGTAAACTTGTTTCTTAATAGACAACGATATTCATTCAAATTAGCTAGAAACTAATAACTAAGCTGGTGGTACATTTCATTTTTTAACAATTCTATTTACAGAACTCAGTCCTAAATATAACCAAATAACTTAAATGCCTTTCACAAAAAAGGTTTTAGTTTTCTTTCTTTGAGTTATTTATATCCGTAGATAAAAGTCTTTTTTCTTAAGTTTTTCTATACTATCATAGTTCGCATCAAATTTATGATCAATAAAGATATGTTATAAGACTTTTCTTACAGTAAGATATATATCATATTGAAATAAAACTGTCATATCATATCTTTACTCGGTGATATATATAATGCAACATATGGTAGTATAGAGACAAAGTGGTCGAAAGACTTTTGGTCAAGTATGTAGTTATATATCGTTTTCTTTAGAAAAGATAGTATTATTAGAAATCGCACCTAAATTTTAGGATATATTGTCTATATTGTTTTCAGTAAGCTCGATTACCAACGATGTACAGGATAAAAAAGAGTTGAAAGTATTAAATCGTTTTATTTTATTTAGGGATAGAATAGAATATCCGTGTCTTCTTTAGACCAGAAGAAATCATTTTTGTTTGTTAACATTCAAGGGTTTTTGTTATTCCAAAAAAAACTGTTTTATAGTAGACTTCAAGGTTTATACACGTTGAATCTTTGTGATTGTGCAATCGAATTAAATCTGAATGATTTGATGCAAATGTTTTTTTCGATGATTTCAAGTATTTCTTTTGAAAAAATAAAGAACCTTTAAGAAATTAGTTATATACCAGACCGATGTTATTCTATGATTAAGATGATCTTGAAAAACGATGTTTTGACGGTTTTCAAGCATCAACTTCTAATGCTTCCGAATATTTTATTTTATTAGTCTTATATCAATGTCGTATTACTACAAATAATAGTTAAATTAATTTAGTTTTCAGAAGCAATTTCTATTGTATTTAAAGGTAGGAAGAATAATATATCTATTATTAATTAGTTAAAAGCTAATCAATATTAAGTCTTATAAATAAACAAAGAAAGATCTCTTCGTAATTACGGCATATGTTTAAAAAATATTTACAATATATTATAGTTTCTTTTTTTTTGTAAATATTAACAAAAATATACCCTCGATTGACTTAGTATTAAATATATTGATTTAGCAATTTGAATCTGATAAATGAGTTGCAAAAACTAATCGAACGAATTCATAAACACATTTGACTATTTTCTTTTTCAATGAAATATATCATATGAATAGATTGTTGCATTGGTAACTTTATAAATATTGATTTTAATGATTGAAGCATTTATTGAATTTACGATAAAAAAATCTTTTCAATAAATCATATATCTACGTCATTTCAATAAATAAATGAAATGAAATTTTATATATTACTGGAAGTTGAAAAGTCATTTTTTTCTCTCTTTTCTAATTAATTAGAGTCATAAATATGCACAACCACAAGCAAAATTTATTTTTGATATTAATTTCTTCCTCTATATGACATCTTTTTTATATAGATCTGATTAGACATATTTTAAAAATACTTTTTTTACTACTATAAATTAAATTTACTTGTAGTTTCAAATCTAATCAATCGAGTATATACATATTCTTTTCTTTTTCACATAATGATTTCTTTGTAATCTTACAATAATACTCAAATTATTTACATCATCATCATTCGATTATTTGATATGAGTAGATCAATTACCATAAATAAATAGTAAATTTTTGTTCAATAAGTTGTATTTTTATTTGTTACTATGAATAATAAAATAAAAAGTTCATCAGAAAAGGTTAAATTTACATATAGTACAATAACAAAAAAAAAGCATGTTCGTCAATCGCCTACGTAGTAATCATAAACAGAACAGAGCTACAGGTGAGATATTTAATTTCCTCTTGCCGATTCCATTTTGTTATTATAAAAAAAAATCTGTGTTGAAAAAAAATACGACGACATACAATTTAATATTATATTTTTTTTTGGGTGCTTTATTCATAATTTTAGTAAATCAATACGTTGTTCTCGGTTTTTTTTAGATGCGTAAATATAAAAGAATCAATAACAAAAAAAAAGCCGAAATTAGACAAACAATCGTAGAATTGTTACAATAAAGTGACACTCTTCAAGGCTCTAGACAGTCCTATTTTTCCTCTTAGCTGTGCTTGACAAGTAATGTAAATGAAGAAAAAAAAGTGAAAGAAGAGGAGTACAGAGAAAAAAAGAAAAGTATTGGAAAGAGAACAACGTAATTAGAATTTAAAAGAGAGAAGGGCAAATTATTTCTACTACGTTTTTAAACTTTGATCGACTCAGGAACATTTCTTTATCTCATCTTGTATCTTTAAGATGATTAAGATTTAATAAGTAAGATGTATTCCTAGGTATTATAGCTTCTAGTTATTCTATAAATAATCTTAATCGTCTTTGAATAAGATAAATAATCTTGACTAGTAATCAATATTCTCATCTAAATGATTGATATTTATATAAATAGAAAGATAGAAATAGTAATAGAATACATAAAATAGATGCAAATATGTAATCATAAAATCAAAGAAATATGTTTTCACCTGCGATATTACCTTTGATAAGCTTTTAAAATAACGTTATATAAATAACGCATTTTTAATAACTCTTTTTCCTACCTAATTTGATTTACAAAAAAAGCACAACAATACCATATTGGTGGTATAACGTCTCCTATTCCGCATCTATATATATATATACATATTTTAAAATACGTCCACAACTAATATGCGTAATACGTAGTATTTTTGATTACTGAATCATGTGTATCATAGAAAGATCAATCATGCAGAACATAATTTATAGTATGTATATATCATTAACGCTTGATAAGTTAATATTAAGTTAAATTGAATTGAATTGTTATATGCATTTACTTCTCTTCTCTTTGTTTCTCCTTTTTTTTCTTTATTCAAGTGCAAGAAATATGAGTAGAAAGTATTAGACATATGAAAAATACTGCTTATAACTTTGTTCTGTATTTTTTTTCTCTCTCTTCTCTCTTCTTCTTACAAAAGGGCAAAGAGAGAAGATTTAGTTTTTTCTTCTAGCATTTTGATGAAAAAATAGTAATCAGATCTCTACAAAGAAAAAATACATTAATAATAGTCATTACAAAAATGGATGGGAAACGAATGAATAGTAAGTGTGAAGTTATCTATTAGTATAAAATAAATAAAAGTTTAAATATCAGGAAATAAAATTTTACATAATCAAAATAAAATCTTTTTCTTTTCCTTTCCAAAGATTTTATTGACATAAGCAGGAAGAAGTTTATTTTTCATTAACATACATTTTATTTGCATAAAACTAGACATAATATTTAATCTTTTATTTAATTACCTTGTTTTTCTTTTCCTCATAGAAAACTTCTTTATTTATTATTATGTCGATTGATTCGACAACAAAATCAAGTATTTATCGTAAAAAAACAATGAAACCAACATTATCTCAATCAGATAATCATCCATATTCAAGAAATTTATTAAAAAATCATCAACAACGTTCTCATTCAATGCAACGAACAACATCTAGTACAGAAGAAATATCTGGTGATATACTCACAGATTTATCATCAGCACCATATATGACAAATAGCAAAATTTCTAATAAACGTAATAGAAGATATAGTGAAGTAAAACCATCTCATATAAAACAAGTTCAAGCAACACATTCTGAACGACGTAATTCAGCTTCACAAATTAATTTTAGTGCTTTACTTCCAAATCCTTTTCGTTCGAATAAACATTATAAAAATTTAATAAAGTAAGTTACTATTTAACTATAAGAGTATAAACAGCAGATGATGACAAATGATAAAATGATAATGATAACAATATCGTTGTTAAAACAACGTCATTTTCATTAGAAAACTAACAAATCTTTTCTTCTCTTATCAGTACGAGTTGGGAGTCAGATGCAGTCGAGTATTCTACACTGTATCTGACGTATGTGTGCTCATTATTTTCTTCGTCTTCTCCCTCGTTTTTTTTTTTATTAAAAAAGAAAATATTGCTTTCTAGAGACGAGACAAATACAACACCTAATAGTAATTCTTCACCACATTACAACGATATGATGACAATGAAAACCGAATCACCTTCTTCAATGGTAAGTTAATTGTATTGTCATGATAGACAAGGAATTTTTTTATTATGCTATATCATGCAACAAAAAAAGAAATTTAGATTATATTAATTAATCCTATGGATGAAAAAACTTTTTGTAATATTAAAATATTACTCCATTATTATACCGGAAGAAGATTAATGTACTTTTTAATAGTAATATATATTAACATTTGACAGTAAGAAAACATTGTCGTGTTTTACTTTACCTTCCGGTTGACCTATTTTTAAATGACCTAGAAAAAAAAGTCTTAGAATAATATTAGTTTTTAATAAAAATAATTCATTGATTAAGTCAAGTATAAATATACTTTTTCGATTTGTTTTCTTTATTCTATCGAAACGTATTACGTACTCTACCGTATATAACTAAGCCACGTTACCATTCTAATTTTAACCTATTAATGTCAATAACAGAACAAAGTTTGTTTTTTTTCAATAGAAATTGTCAAATTCAACATTTCAGCATCCACGAACAAATTCGTTAATTAGTTATGATCAATCATCATCCTTTACACAAGATGATTCAAGATCATATTCGATTTCGTCTGTTACATCTTCATTTATGTTTGATCCAAATCAATTAGAAGCATGTTCAGCTGAAATACTTAAACTTGAATTACATACACCAGCATGTGTAGGAGAACATTACCGTCAATATTTTCTTGAATCTGTAAGTTAGAATAGACAATGCAAAGGAATCTCTTATCTTTGTTTTTTAAATTAGTTTCATACAAATTATTGTGGTGAATTTGATCCAGAAAATCCTTTTATAGCATCACTTCGGTATTTTTATACAAAACCTGTTGAAGGTATTGATGGAATTTGTCAAGCAAGAGCTATTATTCGGTAGGTTCATAATAATACGATAGAACGATCAAGTTAAGTGAGCTCCAAATTTGAAGTATATGGACAAATTGCAGCTTATAACTGTGTGCTTTTTGTTTCTTCAGCACCATCAGTCGACTCAGCACAGTCCAGAGTATCTATTCGAGTAATTAAAAACAGATGATTACAGTTTTTGGGTAGAATTTTTCGCGGCAACCTAGCTTGACCTTGAAAAACACAGATTTTATCTTTCGTCTTTGTGAAAGATCCAACGAAATATCTTTCTTCGGGGATGATTAGACCTATGTTTCAGTATGAAACAACAACAACTACAATAATTTAGAAATGAATTTCAACGTCAAAATAAAACCGTTATTATACGATTAGCGTCACAGTAGTCTAAACAAGATTTTTAATCAACTAAGACCAGAAGTAAAATAAATTAATTTTACATTTATTATTTTTAGTACACCAAGTCGTAATGATGTTGTATCTACAATCGTTAATGGAACAAATGAAGATAATATTCTTCAAATATTATTTAATCAAGCAAATTTACCAACAATTCAAACATATAAACCTATTGGTGATCCAAAAGTGAGTATAGGTGAGATGATTAGTTTAATAAAATTTTACTAAATTGATTTTTTTTTCAAACAGGCAAATCAAAAAATTTATTTATTTGATAAATTAAATGATGAAAGACACAATTGTAAAATTGGTTTGATTTATCAACGTTCCGATCAAACACTTGAATATGATATTTATAGTAACGATTTTCTCTCAATAGATTTATTAGATTTTCTTCAAATGTTAGCTGAACGTGTACGTTTAAAAGGTTTTAATAAATATCGTGGTGATCTTGATGTAAAAGATGATTTAAATGGAGAACATTCTTATTATGTTCATTATAAAAATCATGAAATTATGTTTAATATAGCTCCAATAATTCCATCAACAAAAACTAATGGACAATGTATTGAGCGTAAAGGTCTTGTAGGAAATGCATTTGTTTGTATTGTTTTTCAAGAACCAAATGCTGAATTTTCACCTGAACTAATATCAGGAAAAGTAACACAAATCTATATAACAGTACAACCAAATAAAATCAATGAACAAGTTTATTATAAAGTAAAAGATAAAAACAAAATTTTTCTTTGTTTATAAAATAAAATTTTCGATCTATTTAGGTTGGTATTTGGCATCGTAGTGATGTAACACAAACAATAGACCCATCCGGTGGAATGTATTTAAATGATCATGCGTTTAAAGATTATTTTCTAACATTATTACTTAATTCAGTTAATGTTGCTATTGAATCACCAAGTTTACGTTGTCGTATAGCACAACAAAGGCAAAGATTAAAACGTGAAGAACTTAAAAAACTTGCACAAACATTATCTGTTGGACAAATTTTAAATTTATCGAATGATGTTGAAAATATAAATTGTAATGTTGATCAACAATTTAATAATGTATCAAATTCAACACTCGATAATTCTATTCCAACATCTGGTCGTACAAAACGAGGTTTTTCAAAAATATTCAATGTATTTTCTAGTCGACAAAATTCGTTTGCATCTAACACACCATCGCCTACAACAAGTCATCCTCCAGCATTTCCAAATTTTAATATGCCATCGTTAAATCCACCATCACCAGATATAAATACAATACAAACTAAAACAAACATGTCATCAAATAGAGAACCTATGAAACGAACAACATCTGCAGTAAATTTGTTTTTGTTTTTCTTCTTCAATTGAATATATGTTTTTTTTAGAAGGGTCGTCCAGCACCTCCACCTCCGCCCTCACCAGCAATTCCTATACCAACACTTATACCACCACCTATACCACCTCGTAATCCAGTTTCAAAGTCAGTCAGTAATTCATCTATTCAACCTTCTGCGAATGATACGTAAGTTGTGCTTCTATTTCATTTTCACTAATAAATTCGATTATCTATTAGAAAATTGTCACAAAATACAAATGAAGTGGATGAACCTTCACGTAACCGATCAAATTCATCACCAGGAAATAGTAGTACTGCAACTAAGTAAGTTTGCAAATCAATTTATTCTATTTAAAAATTATCTATATATAAATAACAATAGACTCGTTGAAATGTATATGATACGAGTAGTTAAAGAAATCTGGTAGATATAATATCTGTGTGGATTTTTGAAATTTTTCTTCTTCTTAACTTGGGTTTTTAGAAATATTAATGTATTTAACAAAAACACTCTTTTTGTTTTTAGACCTCCATCATCAACTGTATCAAGTATAAGTGAAGAAGTCGATAATTCAAGTAGTTTAGGTGATGATGATTTTGATGATGATGAATTCAGTGATGATAACAAAAATGACCATCGTCCAACATTAACTGCATCTTCAATAATCTTACCACCAAATCTGAATTCATAATTTATTTTTCTTTCATTTCTCAATTGCATTTGAGTAGTTTAATATCCGGTGACATCAATTTTTCTCAATTTATGACGATGCTCAATAAATATATATTTCCATCAAATCAATTTTACCTCTTGTATTTGTATTACTATCATTCGATATATATATATATATAAAGAATTTGTTTTCTTTATATCAATAATCGAATGTGTGAACTTTTCCCTTTTGCTTGTGTCTTTCGAATGTGTGCAATGAACTTTCCTTTTTTTTCATTTTATGTATACGTATATATATATATATAAATATATTCTAATCAAAATATATATTAATCAGTTCTTATAAAAAGAATTAAATTATAAAATTTTCGTTGTGTTTATTTTCCCGTAGGGGGGTACGGCATTTTCCGAATGGGTTCAAAATAATCCATAGTCTTTCGTTTCTGAGATTTAATTCTCTTGCATTACAGTGCACAAGATTGACTATCGATAAGAATTATAAATAAACACCTAGAATATGTTAGATTGCGAAAGATAAAAGTAAATATTATACTTCTAGGTTATTCTTCAAAAAGATTGATAATGCATTTAATATTATTTTTTATTTTCAGTTGTAACAAAACAAAGAAAGCTGAGAAAAGAAAAAATTTAACAACATCAATAAAAGTTTAATTATCACGAGTTAGTAACAGCACTGTTATTCATTAAAAGAAATAGGAAAAAGAAATTAAATGGAATGTTATTATTAAATTATATGAATAAAATAATTCTACTAAGTCGTTGAGTAATGTTCGAATAACCATTGTTGTGATGGTTTATTTGGTTGGCATTTTTTTAAATTAATTTGATCGTTATTTTTAAGACCTTCGATATCAAGACAAAGTTTACTTGGATGATGAATAATTGTTCCATTCTTGAAAATAAGAAATTATAGAAAATAAGAAAAAGGAAAACGTTCGTTATTAAAATTACTTTTTCATGTGTCCATTTTTGATTTTTATCCGAATATTCACATTGGGATAAAGCAACTCCAACAGAATCTGAACCACGTCCAGTAGAAAGTGAACATGTATCTTCTCGACGTAATTGATCAGTTTTTGTTAAAGAAAAAAATTGATTGGCTGATGCACCATTTTGACATGAAAATACTGCTAATTGAATCGAACCTTTTTCATCTTTACCTAATGTATCCAAACATAAACTTGTCGAAGGATTTCGAACCTTTAAAAGAAAACATCAATTTCTCTGCTATCTATTATCAAGAATTTTTTTGTTATTTACTTCTCCATATGCATGAACATTTTCATCAAGAATAAATTTTTCAGGATAAACATTTTCAAGAAACCATTTAAATGATTTACAATTTAAACGTTTACGTATTTCTCGACGATCTTCAACATCACCAAAATCTTTACCCTAAAAAAAATTCGTACAAAAGATTTTTTTACTAATAACATTCATTTACTTTTAAATCATATCTATGCATATAATAAAAACGTTTATAATCATCCATCCATACTTCAGCAAGTCGCATAGAATTTCGACCATGAACGTCACCTTTACCTAGTATAGAGAAAACAAAATCATTGATATTGTTTTTTGGTTGATAAAGAAAATATTGAATAATTACCTTTTGCACCAGTCATATTGTAAGGATGACCTGGACGAAATATATGACCAACACGAGAACATGGTACGAATTCAAGACTACCACCACACATCCATACACGAAATGAAATTTCAAGATTTTCACCTCCCCAAACCTAGAAAATATGTATTCCATTTATCTAATTAGAAACAAAAATATCTTTCAAACAAAACTAAGAACAAATAGTAAAAATAGCTTTCTAAAACACGAGCAAAATGGTTCGGATAGCCATATCAGATATAAATATAAAGCAATGTATCATATCACCATGATCTTTTAATAGAACTACAACGACTTATCGAAATAATTTCGTTTTTCAAGTGATTAACATACTTTATCAGACAAACAACTAATAAGTATAGTATCAAAATGAATAGATTAGAGATAAACTTCAAATAATAAGCTAAAATGTTTTATTTGAGCGAGACAAATGTATGAAATATTCCTTTACTGATTAAATATTGCTTGGTGGAAGGGAGACATGCAGTAAAATTCGAGCTTTAGTTTTTTTTCCTATAGGATTGAACAGTTCACTTCCATGCTCAAAACATAAACAATTAGTTTTTACAACTATTCAAACATTTAGTTAAATATATAAGTTTTATCATAGTCTGCAAAACTACTATAAACATGCAACATAAACCTGTAAAGATACATTAATTTACGAACAAACATCCACTAAAATAGAAAAAGAAACCTCGCAAGATTAAAGATTTATCTCCACATAGTTGATATAATAAATTTGTCTGTTGTTTATATCTCTTATCTACTTGTATATTTAGTCATAAAAAATAGAAAGAACAAAAACGATAAATCTTACTTCCATATCATCATCTAAATGAAAAAAAAATATCAACAGATTTATTTAAAAATCCTTTTTTTTGTTTTTAAACTCTTACCATAACCACCAATTTCAAAGAAATATTCTCGATGTGCAGCTAATAAACCACCAGCCATTGTTGGTGATCTAAAATAGGTATAAAAATAAATTTATAATTCATAAAAAAGTATTTCTGAATAGAAGTAGTCACGATCACCCACGGGTAAGGTTCAATTCGAGTTTTTTGTGCATCACGTATACGTTGTGGAATTGGTATCCAATTAAAATGTAATGACCACCAAAATCCACCAATACTTCCATCACCCGTACCCTTCAAAAAGGCCAACACCAATTCAAACGAATATATATCTTTAAATATTACTTACACCATAACCCATATTCGTATCACTAATCATATCAATTCCCGGACATAAAATAGCTGAACGTTTCTCTTTAATTCGAAGCAAAAGCGGTTCTAACCTATAAAAATATAAATATTCCCAATCACCAAATGAAAAATGAAAAAAATAAAATAACTAGAAAAAGCATCTACGGAATAGGATCAATAGTTGTATTTCGTAGATTTTCAATTCGTGGAAATATTCGTGTCCAAGAAAAATGAAGTGACCATTCAAATATTCCGATCAAAAAAGGTCGACCCGAAGAATATGATAACTGATAACTATCGATGCCATCAATGATAGGGCAAAGAATAGCTGTCCGGTTTTGTTTAATACGATAAACTAATGGTTCAAGCCTAGATCTTTTAGTTTTATTCCTGAAGAAAAAGAATTTATATCTACTTACCATCCAACATTTGCTTCACAATGAGCATCGAGAAAAATGACAACATCTCCAGTAGCTAAAAGAGAAAATTAAAATCTATGAATTGTTTTATTTTTTTCTAGTAATAACGAACCATTTTTTGCACCATAATTTTTCGCTTTGATCAATCCAAATCTTACTGGTGCTCGTAAAACTCGTACTAAATCTCCAAAATGTTCTTCACAATAATCATCTAAACGTTGACCCATTTCCTCTAGAAATTTTTGAATAAAATAAGAAAAATTTCCTTTAGTTTTCAATTATATCTATACCAATATCTGATTGATCATCAACTAAAATAACTTCCTTGAGTAAATGTTTTGGTGAACGATTAAGAACGGAATAAACTGTTCGAAGTACTGGTGACCAACGTTCATTTTTAAATACTATTACAACTGATGCTGTTGGTAAATCTGGTGGATATTCAACTGATTTACATCTAGAAATATAACTCATAATCAATTATATTCATTTATATTTCACATACAATGGATCACGAGTATCTGGTATTGATCTCCATAAGGAGATTTTTTCACTTGCACGTAAATTAAAAAATTCTTTTTTCATAACAGCATCAAGATTAACTGATTCTTCAGCCTAGACAAATATTTATTTATTTAAATAAATAGTTTTTTTTCTTATTTATATTTACTGTTAATTGTACACCTTGTCCATTTTCACCTGGACAACCTTGACATGGTTCTGGTGTAGAATAAGTATCTCGATTAACACGTAGTTTTTTTCCTTGTTGAATATTCTTTAGCTTAATTGATTGATCTTTAGTTTTCGATGTTTGTTGAGTATCATTTTTATGGAAATAAAATAATGTACAGAATATGATGATACAGAGAATCAAGAATTTATTTCGACGACGATAAAGAAACCAGTAGAGATGTGATGACAACATCTGAAACAGAACAAATGAACATGATTGATCTAAAATAACCTTTTCTCATAAATCTATACATGACCAGAAGAGTCAATACAAACATCTTTGGTCAAAAGAAAAAAAACGATATCTATCACGTTCATAGACATTTAATTTTTCGTCTCAATGCGAATTTTTTTCTTTCTCATTTCTTCTTTAACTGATGCTAATGTTTCTCTTGGTGCATCATGTGATGGTCGTTCAAAAAAACCACCAGCTATTTTTTCAGCTGCTGAACGTATACTATGTGATTGACTTGGTTTTAATTCGGATTGAGTTGGACCAAATGCTTTAGCAAAAAAATCATTTGTACTAGCACGTTTATATGATGTTTCATCGAATTCAATATTTGATTTTGATTTTTCGCTATTGTTGGTAGCGGTTTGGACATATTGTTTTCTTTCTTTTTCTTTTGTTATTGTCGATGATGTCCTGATAAAATTGAAAGACATTAAGAAAAATAAAAAATCGAAAGAAAGAAATCATATAAGAACGAACATGGTGGCAGATGGTGATTTGAAAGGCATCGAAAGAAACGTCTCAATGTCATTGGCAACATAACTAATACGATCAGTTAGTAATTCATTATGATTGCAAGCATATTTTTTTATAACCGCATTAGCCATATTTGCTAAAATATTAAAAAATAATTATTATTTGAAAAAATTTAAATTAGAAATATATACTTCGTCATGATAGACAAAGTAATTTGAGTCTAATAGATCGTTTTACAATAGAATTAATACGGCTTTAATGAATAAGTTTCTAAGAATATCTCCTGGTTAATTTAATAGAGAAAAGCCTTTGTAAGTTCGATATATATTTTAATCTATTTAGGAGGTAAAGTTGACATTGCTACTGTTTAATATTATAATTATAGAAGGTTTCTGTTCAGCATTAAGACTTCTATTTTCGAATCAATTATAGTATCTTACTTCGTATTGACTTTAGAATAACATCGCGGCATCAGTATTGTGATTCATTTCACTATGTTTATAAATACTGTTTTTTAGATTTATATGATTAATGGTAACTTTTCGATATAACCCTTTTACTAAACATATATCCATTCTAATGGATTTTAACTCTACACTAAAACCATTCTATTATGAACAACATCAGTACTTCTTTAAAAGCATTAGCTAAATGACACTCTTTACTTGAGAGAGTTGACATATGACTTGTTGTAATATGAACAGCAACTTAAGTACAATATTTTTTGACTACTATATAATGTTAGTAAATATAGAATACATTCACTCATAGTGTGTAAAAAACAATCACTACAAAATACAGTAAGATCAATAAAGTAAGGAATGTATTCATATTAGAAAGAGACATATGCACATTTTTAATCTAGATAATAAATTCCAATTAACGAGTGAGTCGAAAGTTCCCGAACGAAATGTTTGTTCATTCGAAAGTATTCTATATACTCAGAAAGAGCACAAAACACCGGCTAATATCCATCATGTTACATTCATTTAGAATACTTTCGGATAGATGAAAAATAAACAAAAATTTTCTCTGGAAACTTTAGGCTCACTCGTTATGTTCTAAAAGAGCATCATTCATTTCAAATGTCTTTATTTTATGACAACCCTCTGGTTCGAGAAAGTATATTACTCTATAAATGTCACATTCATAACTTCTATAGTTTTTCTTCTCAATTCAATCTAAAGCAGATATAGATTCTAGATCATCCTCATAACTACTGTAAATATTCTATTCACTATTCTCTCACCTACATTTATTGAAAGGTTCAACAGCTAAATCTTTGATTAATGCATCTAATAAATTCTTATCCAAAATTTTATCTTCTTCTGATAAAATCACCAATGTCTGTAAACGAGACAACCACAGATTATGTATATACGCATCATACTATTAATTAGAAGAAAACAACAAAAAATTTATAATTTCTTTAAAAAATTTTTTTACTTGATTTGTATCTTCCAGCATCCAGATACGTAAAGCACCCATTATTTCACGTTGAGAATATTTTAATAATTCTTTATAACCAAGAATTTTTAATAGATATTTTGCTACTGGCCAATGTAATGGAATACGACCGAAGTCAAATGCAAATTTTGCTAGCGGAAGAAACCTATAAAATAAAAGAAAACATTTAGTTATATTTTTATACAAAAAAATATTTCTTTACCGAATGAGTTTTCTTGGTGCAGGATCAACCATAACTAATGATTTACAACGAAAATATTCATATTGATCAATCAGTGACATTAATGTATATGCATTTTCATGAAAACCTATAACAGTATGAATAGGTCTAAAGAAAAATAAACCAAACAAACATTTAAGAGAATAAAATAAAAGAATTGTTTTTACATTAATTTATCACCCATAATCAATTTAAGTAATTCTCCAAGAAATCTTGCACGTAAAAGAACTGAATTTTTCCAAATTAATCCACTCCATAGCGGCATTTTTGTTTTACCACAATCTAAATGGAATATTTTTTATTTTATCATTCTTATAAAACTCAATTAACTAACAAGGCATATCTGGTGCAATACAACGAAAATTTCTTTGTTGAAATTCTTCAATAAAATTTCGTGTTGATTCATGTGTACCTGGATAACCATGAACAAGTAAAACAATAGGTTGATTTTTATCACCTAATGGATTTGTATCAACATAATTAACATTTGCTCGAAGAAATGTTGCTGGTCTAGCTACTTTAATTGTTGTTTCACGATCAATTTCAATAAATTCATCACCTGCTGCTGTATTTATAACAACATCTAATTGACGTTCACTATAATTTGGATATTGTTTCACAATATTGGATGATATTGTCGAAAAAGTTTTTACATGTTTAAAAAATAATGATAAATGTAAAGAAGGATTAGTTAGACGAATATACATCTAAATAAAATTTTAAACTTGGAAAATACTATTCTATTCATACATATAAAATTATACGAATTACAAATCTTTTGTTTTCGTTAGACGAAATATTAATGGATAAGAATATATTATATAAAAATTAGATGTATTCTCTTTATCATAAAACTGACTTGTCACATTTAATTATACTTTTTTCAAATGATTGATATGAGTATTTTTTTTTAATAAATTAAATGCTTCTGTATAATCTACAAGATTATTAAAAATTATGGATTAATATTGATTTTTACGATATAATAGAAATACTTGACTTCATAGAGAATTATGTCACGTAATCTTCTCAGGTAAATACTACATAGTACTCTAACAGGAATCATATAAGATTTAAAATTTTTAATATTTCTTCTAAAAAATCTATCCTTTATTATGGAAATTATACTAATTGAAATCCTTACATGTGTAATAGTTCAAATGGATATTTAAAAACAAACACTTGTAAGATTCTCACTAGTATATTACATAACCATCTATAAATATTGAATCATATCGACAGGATTAAAAAAAAATTCGAATCAATGATGTGTATAGAATTTAATATTATATAAGACAAATCATTACTATTGAATAGCGATAATAATCTAATCTTTAATATTTCAATGGTTATTTTCTACTTAATAAATTTGATTATATGCCACTCAAACTAATCAATAGAAAACAAGTTATTAGAGATAGAGAAAATACACTTGAAGTTAATTAAAAGCCTCGGGAATCATCTTTCTTTCCTAATTCTTCAAATAAAACGATTGGTTTTCTTTCAAAATAATAGCTTTTAATTTTTTTCAATTTCTCACCATGGTTGAAAAATCTTTGATTATTTATATTGAATAAAAATCTCAGGAAAGTTGATAAATATTTGTTTGTCAATTAACAATACAATTCTACTATTGGTAAAATAAAAGTGACATCTATATATTCTTAATCTATTTCTTTTTCTAATTAAAATTTTTCTTTTTTCTTAATAAATTTTATCAAAATAAATTCATAGATTCTTTTTATTTGAATTCATATTATTCCAATTCTTAAAAATTCATTGGTGTATATTTCATGTCTTTCTTTTGAACTTCTTGTTGTTTTTTTTTGTTTTTTCTTCATCCCAATCTCTTTTATTTGTGCATGATTTCAACAATGTATTCTCAACAACAAATGGCTCCAATGCCTCAACAACAACAACAACAACAAAAATCAACTATTCAAAAAGTAGGTTTTTTATTCGAACTAAAAGAGAAAAAAAACAGAATATTCATTTATTTTTTTTTTAGTTACTTGATGATAATTCTCAATTAATATCATTAATTCTTGATTTACAATCGAAAGGAAGACAAATGGAATGTCTTGAGTATGTTATTAAAATAATTATATATGAAACTATTTCTCTATTATAATAGTTATCAACGTACTTTACATCGAAATTTATCTTATTTAACACAATTTGATATGACACAATCTCATCATCCAACTAATTTACCAGTATGTTGATATATATGCGAAAATATTGTTCTATTTCCTTTAATATTTAAGCCTCCTGATGCATTTATTCAAGCACAACAACAACAGCAACCAATGATGATGGTAAAGAGTTTAGAAAATTAATTAAAAAGTAAATATAAATAATTTATATTCTATTCTAGGGAAATAATATGATGCAACAAAATCAAATGGGCGTACCTCCATCATCTTCAGAACAAAGTAAGTCAACTTAATATCTATAATACATTAGATAGTATTCTTTTCAATATAATTAAAATATATATCTATTATAACTTTTTTATAATTAATATTTAAGAATGAGTACTTTAACATGTAAGGTTATTTTTATAACTTATTATTTTAAGTGTCGCCTCTTTATAATATTAACGAACAGTTTTTTCTAGTATAATTATTTACATTTCATTACACAAAAGGAAATTTGTATAGAAAAATTAAACGAATGTAAAATTTTTTACTTAAGAAATATTCAAGTGTAGAAAAACAAAATAATTGATTATGTGTGTTTTTTATTTTTGAAGTGTATCGAGCGCAAACTAATAGCCCAGCTCCATCAAGTGTTCCTTCATCAACATTAAATAAAAGTCCACATGGTACTAGTAATAGTGGTCTTTATCCTCCATCAAATACGCCTTCAACGAATTCATCTATTCCACCATCTCTTCAACAACAACGATCACCAGCTAATTCTGCACCATCACCATCGCCATCTGGTCCAATAACATCATCTATTTCACCACAAAATCCAGTTATGAATAAAGCACCAACACCACAACCACCATCAACTCATTTACCTCCAATGTCGCAACAGCAACAACGACCTTATTTACCATCTCAACCAATGATGCAACAACAAGGTAGAGTTATGAATGGTACTGGAATGGATCATTCATCTAGTGGACAGCCACCACCATCATCCTACATGCAAGGACAACAATCATACATGCCTCAACAACAGCAACAACAACAACATTCATATGCAATGCAACAAAATGGTTATGGTCATCATCCAAATGGTAGTATGCCACAACAACAACATTATCCAATGTATCATCAACAACAAAGTAAAAGAAAAGAAAAATAATCTTTTTTATTTTAAATGATCTATTTTGTTTTTCTTAGATCCTGGAATGCCTGTTCCTCCAAATCAAATAGCTAAACCTAATTCTCCATTAAATGGTCAACAACAATCAATTATTCCAGCTCCATCATCACCTAAACCTTCATCATCAAGTTCACCTTCTCAAGCAACAAACACACAAAATCTTGTTTCAAATCAACAACAAATGACATATAATAATTATAGTGGACAACAACAACAACAACCACCTCCACAACAAATGTATCATCCACAACAAAATTATCATATGCAACAACAACAACAACAACCTCCACCGCAATGGCAAAATCAACCTCGAATGATGATGCAACCTCAATATGGATCATACCCACAAGGACAATATCAACAAGCTCCACCACAAACTTAAAATAGATTTTTAATTTCATTCTTTTTAGTATTCGAATTCATTGTCTTTTGTCTGAAATGACCCCACTTCTTTTTTTTTTCTTTATATAAAACAAATATATAGATGTTATAAATGTACAGAAAAGAATCTTTGATGACGAACGAATCTCCTTTCTAGTCATACATTACACATACACACTCATTCTATGTTTGTTTGTTTTTTCTGTTTGTTGCTCATTGTGTTATACGAATTTAAAAAATATATAAATAAATTACTGTGTAAAAATTTACATTATCGTTGAATACGAAAAATTTAAATTTGGTAGTATCTAATTCGATATTTATTGCATGCGATATTAGAAATTTTCTTTTGTATGTATTGTTTAAATAAGAATATTTTCTTTTTATGTCAATATTAATCTATCCGAATAAAATTCTTTAGAATTTGTCAAAGTAAATCATTTATTCTTTTCGATAAACTAAATTAAATAATTTATTATTAAACAATGAAAAATACAAGTTTTGTTAAAAGAAGAAGAAGAAGAAGAAGAAAAAAGAAAAAGCCAGGATAATTAACAATACAAGGATTTCCAATAATATATATCTTTTTTGCCAATCTTATCACGAAATAACTATTAACATAGACATTATTTCATGACAGTTAAAGATAACAAGTCATAAATATATTGATGCTAATTAAATTTGACAATATTAATACTCAATAATATTCATCGAAGTCTACATACTAATATTGAGTTAGCTCTCTTTTAAGAATCTTTGTACACAATCTTCATACAGCGAAAAGAATTATTGATTTTATTAGCATATTCTTTTCTAACATGATTTCTATAAGAATGAGATTTTGTCTTTTAATATATATGTCGAAAAAGAAATAAAAGAAAAGAAGAGAAAAGAAAATAACTATATTGTCATTTTTTTTTCTTCTTCTTTATTCATCTTCTCTTTTCTTCTCATTTTTTTTTCAGACGTGCATATAAACGTTGCTAGTTTTATTACAATTGAACTCTTGAAAAATATACTCAAAAAGTTAACAATTGAGAAAATATTTTCAAAGTAAAAAATATCAACAATAATCATATTTCAAATATATCATGATAAATTATTATTAATTTCAAGTTCATTATTCATATCGATGTCATTCTCACAAACTAACAATACTACTAGTTTTACTCAATTGTCAGCAAGTCATGAAAATCTCCCAAGTCGACGTGTTTCAGATAACTTTTCATCATCGCGTTCTTATGCACCTGAATGTAAGTAATAGTAGTAATTTTGTTTTTTTTTTCATACTTTTTCAATCTAAAAAATGATTAATATTATTTCATCGATCCATTCATGAGATGTCAAAATATAACTCAGACTCATCTACTTTGACGTTTATTTTTTATATTACAAAACAGGTAACTCAAATGAATTCTATACGGCCTAGACTTGACATTTGTATTATAGGATGAAGAGAAAAAGAAATTTTTTTAATGTCATATTATAAAAAGAGTTCTAACAATTTGCTTTTCTTCTCCATTCAAGATCATACACAGACTACTTATACTAGTCAACGTCGTCTATGTGAACATTTACGCGAAGAAGCCAAACGTGAACGTGTAAAAGTATCAATTGTTTGTAAAGATCTTGTTCGTTATGTAACGGATCATCAATCAAATGATGCACTTGTCATTGGATTTCAATCACCAAAAGACAATCCATTTCGAGATAAACAAAAATGTTCTTTATTATAATCATAAATAAATCAATAAATATCGTAATATTCTATGACTAAATTCATTTTTGTTTTTTTCTTTCTTTCTCTATATACATTAGATTTCTATTGAGAATAATCCAATTTAAACATTTTCCTTTTTTCCTATTATTAAATGTCAATTATAATTAAATACAAAACAGTATAATTTATATGCTAAAAATAAACTTTGAAGTTAACAGTTATGTTACTCTTGTATATCATATTTGTTATTTATCCTTGTTCTCAATGATAATAAGCCTATTTCATTATACAATTAGCCATAATGAGATATTACATTAATTTTGTTTTTCGAGTGTATTTACTACGCAGTAGACATAATAGAGTTTTTTCCTCATCTGTTTCATATAAGACATTTTTGTTTTGTTTTGTTTTCGAAATAAAGTAATTTACTGTAATGAGTGTTGTCTTATGACAAGGTCATAGTCTGATTATTGTATTTTCTACATAATAACAATTAAGATTTGTCTCCTGACTTATAACTTCTGTTTTGCATAAACAATAATTATGAATCAATCTATCTCGAAAAATCCATTATCGAAATTTCCCAATCCACCATTCGGTTCTATTATTATTATTATTATTATTATTATTCTTTTTCTTGTAAAAGAGAGACAAAAAAATACACACAGGCACATCGACAAATAAAAGTATTTAACGGAAAGACATAAATGTTTTTACAGATTAATATGACAATAATTTTCGAGTCCACTTAATACTAAATAAGTAATCCAGAGTGAAAGAAATAGAAGACTTGATATAATACGCCATTTCATTGGACCACCTAATTCTCCTCCACCGAAACATTTCAAACGTCGTAGTAATAATATCGTTACAGCAACAGCTGCAAATGTACAAAATAAAGTTACACTGAATGATAATGATCCTGTTTGCACTTCGAATTTTGTCTGTTTAAAATAATGATACCATGCTGATATAGCCCATGGTAAACCAATACCCAAGAAAACATTCACAGCATTTGAACCATTGACATTTCCTACAGAACTATCAGCATATTTATCATGTTCCGCAGCTACTTTTGATGCAAATGTGTCTACAAAAAAATATCGAATATAAAAATCTGATTTGTTTAAAAATCTATTTTCATACCGGGTAATGATGTTCCTAATGCAACAAATGCAATAGCTGTCATTGTATCTGTAAGACCAACGGTACAACCAAACTAGAGATAACAAACTATTATAAATATATATAAACAAAATAAATAAAATTTACATGTGTTGCTAAATCACCGATAACTGCAGTAAGAAGACCAATTATAATAATTGATACAACAAAACAAACCCATCCACCACCAATACCTGATAATATATTTTTTATTAATAAAAAAAAACATTTTTCTCTAAATATAAATCTTTTACTTGTTGGTGGTACAAATGCAAATAAAAATTTCCAAAAAAATGATACAAAATGTAACATATAGTCTTTGCATGTTGCTGGTTTATCTTCATCATCATTTGATTCACCTGATTCTACTACATCATCATCATCATCTTAACAAAAAAATAATTACGTTAAAATCTATGTTAAATATGAAATTTCATATACCTTTTACGCTAAATGCCTGTTTAAATTGTTCTAACCATGTTGATGTACCCACAAGTATTGCTGTATTTGCTTTATATAAAGCTTTATCAACAGCATTCTTTAGAAAAATAAAGTTAAATTTAAAAAACAATAAATATAGTTTTTTTTCCTTACTTTAAATTCTTTGCTTTCATGTATACGAACACGAATAATATTTCTTTCACCTAATTTTGGTCTACCTAATTCAGCAACTAATTTGTCGTGTTCTGTTAATACTTAAAAAGAATCCGAAAGATCATTGTTTTTTGTTTTATAAATAAAAACATACATGATTCGTCTATTGCATCACTTTCTTTAATAAGTGATGGTTCACCTAATCGAATAAGAAATGATTCATTTCGTTGATATTGATCACGATCAAGTATTTCAATTGTTATGGTTTTTCTAAATACATATATATATAATGGTAAACATAAAAGTCAAGGTTTTAATAACATTGCTTAAAGCTTGTGATGATAGAAAGATATATATATATTAATTAATGAGATTTTTTTCAGTCATTAAGTAGCAATTATAACCTATGAGTTTATTCGATATAAGACATATGGCTAACGGACAAATAGTAGAATAACCAAGGAAATATTATATCTGCTAATTAGCAATAAGAAAGTTATATTTATATTTTCCTTCTGTTCATTCATCTGCGTTAGATAATTATAGAAGCAAACAAATTTTTATCATCTGGTAAAATCTAAAAGCAATTTTATCAAGTATCTATTGATAGTAATTATTTTCTTTAATAATGGTTTTTATCAATCATTATTTATTAGCATATATATCTTAAATGGAAAAAATATATAAATAAAGAGACAATCTCAAGGACATTAGTTTTCTTTCATTCAGAAAATTTTAATCAACGACCATTTGTCTTTTTTTCCGAATGACAGAAACATTTGTTTTTCCTATAAATAGAGCCATTCGATATATTGAAACTTTTGTCGACTTGAAAAAAACCTATCAATGTAATCTGACAAGCATGTCAAAGCATATAGTAGCAATAATGAAGTCTCTATATATGATTTATTTCTATGATTAGAATCGGCAAATGAAAGGTGTAAAAAAAGAGAGAAGAAATTCCTTCGGCAACGATGCAATTACTCGATCGAAGTCCGTTTAATCAATAACGAATCATATTGACATTAAACATAGATTTAGAAGAAATACTCTTATTTAAATTAAAAACTAATACTTTTTGATCCTTCTTCTGATTTTTTTAATAACTTACTCATTTTCTTCATTTTCAAAAATAACTTCATCAGTTTTAGCTATATAATCTCTTTCATTTAAAGCTGTTTCATCTTCAGTTGTATATGGTACTCGTACACGACCACGAGCACCTGATGTTCGTAAAACTTTAATTTCAGCATGACGATCAGATTCTACAACAGTTTTTTCTTCAGTATCAAAAACAAATAAACCGGAATGATCATCATCAATAATCATAACAGTTGCTATTGATGGTTCTGCTAATTGAACAGTTTTATCAAATGCACCCGGTGTTAAACGTCCTTGATTATCTTTTATTTTAAGATTACTTAATTTAACCGAGAAATGTTCATCTAAAATAAACAAAATATATTGAAACAAAGAAAGAAAGAAAAAAAAATAATATTAATTAACCTTCTTCAAATATTTCATCATCAATTATTTTCACTTGAATTTGTTTATGTGTTTCCATTGGATAAAAAATTAAAGTACCTTCAGCTGGCTCATAATCGCCTCCATGTGTTGCCGTACCATCTTCTGTCATATAATCAACATAAACTGTATTTCGTAGATTTCCATCTGTACGTACAACATGTAATGTAGCATAACCAGCATTTTCTAGAACAGTATAATGACTTGGTTCAAAATGTATTTTACTTATATGAGGTGTTGTATCGACTGCTAATGTTTGTTTTTCAGATGGATCAATTTTATCTGGTTCATGTAATTTTTCTAATAATCTCTTTTTAACATTACCACCACCACCTCCTAAACGTTTTGTTGCTTGAATACGATAATAGGCTAGAAAAATTGAATTTAATATTTGATTTTTTGATGTACAAAAGATAAATACCTCGTGATTTTGGTGCACGTTCCATCATTTCAAGAGAAGCCATTTCATTTAATGCTGTCATATCATGATTGGGATATTGTTTACGTAATTCACGCCATATCTCAATAAATTCTTGACGTTGTTGAGATTCAATCTGATCAGATAATGTTCCTGTTTCATCTAAACCACCTGTTGAACCTCCTAATTGTTCTAATATTGAACCTGTTATAACACTACTTGTTTTCTTTCGATACATATCATTTGTACTTGGTGTTAATGAATTTCGATTTGTTCCATCTATCATACCTTTTCCTTCTAAATCTTCACCTGATATAGGTAGAGGTGATGTTGTATGATTATCTAATTGTAAAACTTGTTTTTGTGATGTTATACGTATACGTATAAATTGACCCACTTTTGTGTCAACAATATATGCCGAAAAGACCGTTAAAGGAAAAAATAAAAATGTTAATGTGCCTTCCCATACTTCAATGTAACCAGGAGAAATTTTTGCAACAATAGCCCATAACCATATATAAGCAAATATGGACCAAGCTGTTGTCACAAAAAATACACGTTGATGGCGTATACGACGAACTTCACCGGATGGTATTGACATAATACATATAGCAATAATAACAAATAAATTAAATGCTGCTGAACCAACAATTGTACCTGGTCCAAGATCTCCACTTTTAAAATTTTTACCAACAACTTCAATAATTGATAAAAGTATTTCAGGTGCTGATGAACCTAATGCCATTAAGGTTAAATTTGATACAGTTTCATTCCATATCGCTACTGTTGTTATTGATACTGTTCCATCAGGATTTTTTTTACGTATTTCACGTTTTTGTGAAGTTATAACTTCAATTGAAGCCATAAAACGATCTGATATAATAGCAACACCGATAAACATATAAATAAGTGCTAATAGATAAACAATAGCACGCGAAATTCGATCACCAGTTGAAATACCTTCTTGAGGACGCCATATAGGAATAATTATACCATCTTGTAAACTACAATTCGAATGAATTTTTGAGCATGTATTCGATGAATTAATCTTATTAGTATAATATTCAAGAGTTTTTGATTGATTAAGATCAGTCACACCATGTACAATAAGTGGTGCAATGCTGATTGATAAAAATATACTTAGTATGGATGTTAAATAATGACAAGGATGCATCACGAATAAAGTAGATTAGGATGCCAAACAGGCTTACAACCTATAGCAACAATCATGATAATAATGATGAAGATAATGATGATGATGAAGAAATTGAGCAGTGCAACGCAACATCAGACTTCTTTCTGCTTTTCTTTTCAACTTCTATAATATGAAAAAAAAAGGGAGAAGAAATTTATTTTCATCCGGAACAACGACAGCGCAACATCGTTAACACTTAATAGAAGAAAAAAAAATACACACACACAGGAAGAATAAAAAAAAAGAAGAGCTTTCTCACGGTGACTATAAAACAAACAACGATAATAGATCGAGAATTCAATCACCAAACATCATCCATACCATAATTTTTCCTACCATGTAATTGATTCAATTACAGATATAAACACATGACATACATAACACATTACTAAATCCGCCAAAGAACTTACCTCTTTTTATTTCCTAGCGATTTTCTTTTGCTTCTCATACTATCTAACTATCTTTCTCTCTCTCTCTCTCAATGGTGTTCATCTGGGGATTATCTCAATGCCTACCAGTTCTCTGTTTACGCCCGCCGACTCGAACTTATATTATCGTTGTAGTAGTAGTAGTAGTAGAGTAGTGCGTGTGTGTGCACGCGCTCCAATAGACACTCAGATATATATATATATAAAGATATATATATATATATATACATAAAAAGAAGAAACAAACAACTTTCGCTGTCGAATATAATATATAGTGAGACGATAGTGAATGCACACACACATATAATAATCATCGACAAAAATATAATACTGATCTCATGCTGCTTACGTTTTCTAACAAATGTTGCACAGAGAACAACAAAAACAAAACCACTAATGTTCTTGTTATAGTAGCAATAGTAGGAGAAAAAACTATAGTTATCTACCATTTAGATGCTCTTATATCCAATTGTATGTCGAAAGGAATATAACCGAAAACAACATCGTCGATGTCGCTAGAAAGAAACTAAGCGAAGAAACCTGTCTGTTTCCTATTTCCATGCATACTCTTGCTAGACAGAAACCAGAGGTATCATATAGTCGTTTTTTTTGTAAATGTCGGAATAATGTTGATCGGCAAGAAAAGATTTCTTTTTTCCTCTGTTTCTACTTCTGTCTTCGAGTAGATTGTAAACTAGCATGCTTACTGTAAGATTGCATACCCAATACAATCTATAATACATGTTGGTCTAGCGTCAATGATGACTGAAATACATATTAATAGTAGTAAAAGAAACAATCTTATCCATAGATATTAACAACGATGATGAGAAAAGAATGCTACATAAAAGAAAAGAAAACGAAGATGATGTGCTCGTCTTTTCTGATGAGAGAGAAAAAGGAAGAGAGAGAGAGCGAGAGAGAGAGGGAGAGAGACCAAAACGCAAAAGAAAATTGTCGCTTTCAATCAATATTTGCTTCTTGTGTACGCATGTCCTATATCTTATACTACTACTATTGATGATGATTTTCAAATAATACTAAATAACAACAGGACTTGATGTCCTATTTTTCTTCATAGAGTGACAATCGATGGAAGTCGTTATTATACGAATCGACGGGACAATTTCCTTCTATATATCTATATCTATATATATACGTAAAAGCATCGAAGGATGTCAAGGATACGTATGTCTTTCAACAATAGATGGATAGTTTTGTGAGTTGATTTGACATACCGAAGGAGAGAGAGAGAATAGAGACAAGATATATATCAATTAACGCATCCGTAACTAAATAATTGCCAGTCTTCGATAAGTGCTTAGTTTAGTATGACATAAACTTTGCCCGAGAAAAGGCGACGAGATATTTTTGACAATATTTAAAGAGTACTATGCAAAGAGAAAGATCGATAATTCATCTATTATTCATTAAGAAGACATGCTCTCTTATTAATTCTACTCTGGAAATGATTTTCTCGCTCCATTAGTTATTTAGTCTATATGTATAAACAAAACTCAAATCTACTATTACAATGCTTTTCTTACGCGCGTATTCAATGCAAAACGAATGTTGTTTGTATGTTTCTTGAAGTATTATTACCATGTATTTTTGCCTTCCTTTTTTTTTTCTTTATCTTCGCCGTCTCTCTTTCTTTTTCCTGCTTCTAGCTCTTCCTACTCAATATTAAGAAGCAAAAAAGCAACAACATTAGTAAGACCTCCTTCTATGCTATAGCAATCGATCGATCTCAATGCTCCACTAATTCTCTAAGATGGCAAAAGATATTTGATAATCAACAAACACATGCATAGATATATACATATATATATATACAGACCTAAACTCTATATATAGCAAATAGAATGATGTAATAGGATGAGAAAAATGCATAGAACAATTATAGCGATAGTTGCAATCTGTCTAAGTAATTATTTCGTTGAAAAATGAATGCCAATGTTTGAATTCAAGGACAAAATAATTGAGCAAAAAAAAAAATCTTCTAGTAGACTTTAATACAATGAATTTTATTCCAAGAATAGTCTAATGTTTGTTATTTTTTCTCGTTATTCTCTCTCCCGAGAGATATAACAACATTAATTTAGTTTTTATTAGAAATACAAAGTTCTTTGACATTTTTTATTCTTATAGAAAGAATAATTAGAATATATTAGTTTTTTTTTCAAATAAAAATAGTCATTTATCACTTAATTTTTTTTCTTCTCTAAACAAAGAAAAAAGAAAGAAAAATGAGGTTGATTATAATTAAATAATTTTTATCGTTATTTTATAGCAAAATACTTAAGAGGAATGTTCATTTTACATGTTCAAGGATTATTAAAATATTCAAGATAGACATCTCATTATATTTGACAGCTGGAATATTGTGTTAGTTCAATGTCGATGTCAATGTTATATAAATACGGATATAAAAAAAACTCTGTTGGCACTAACAGTTGTTTATGTTGACATATGATTTAAACTTGTCGGAGGTCAATCATATTGCAAAAAAAAGACTTATTCTAGTCATATTTTCTCTTTGGCTAGAAAATAAAAAAAAAA